ACTTGACAGATATACATGTAGTAAAAAGAGTGATACATTTGTAGCTGCAGAAATGAACTCAATCCTGACAGTTCCATCCTCTTTCTCCTTCCAGAGGGAAAGCCAGCATTTCAATTTTCCAGCCTTCCGCAGCAACTCTGGGCTGTTCCGCCATGGGGCTTTACAGCTGCTCATCCACACCATTGATCCCATTGGTGAAGGTAAGCTATACATGCATGCAGTACATGTGATATATTCATCTGGCTGGTTGTGGTCAAGAAATGTTTGAAAAGTGTTCAGACATCAGAAGTACATTTTGATTGTAATTTATTGTTAAGACCTGTTTTCCTCTTTCCCCCTCTCAAATTCAAAAATGGAATGAAATGATGATGACAATGATGAATATTGTAAATTGTTGAATATCAGATTTAATGTACGTTTTCTGTCATACTAGTATTATATGTGTGTACTTTCAGGAATTTCCAACAAATGAAACATTATCAATCTTGTATAGTAATAGCTCTAGAAGATATGCACACTCTCGTTAATCTGACAACATCTGAAAAAGATGTTTAAAATGTTCAAAGAGTACCCCAGGCATATTGCATCATGCTTCTTTATCCACAATATGGGTAGAACAGTTAGACAGTATTTGCTCATATAATATTCATGACTGGTCATCAATGTTACATTCCCATGCACCGTATTAGCACTATTGATAAGAAGTAACAGTGGCATTATGATGATGATAATAGCTGCTATTTCACCCTGCTGAATAAAAGATGAATTTCCATAAATGCCAGGACTGTATATTTGACCCACAATACTGCACACCAATTCATTATTCATAAAATGACTAAAAGAAATTGCAAATTTGTTGTCTCAGTTGCAATGAAATGATACAAGATACTGATATCTTTTCCTATTTCTGTCTAATCTTTTTACTATGGAAACTATAAGGCGGTTCAAGAGGTACAGACTTGCTAATTGTGTGGTGAACTGCACTATAGATCACCATGGGTGCTGGGTGAATAAATATAAAGTACTCTGACTGTGACTTTTTTGACATTCCAACAATGTCCACACCATGAACATATAGTAAGTTTTTCTGTATCTCCTGAAGTAGTGTTGAACAAAGTTGGTTGTCTGGTTTTGGCCTTGACCTTTCTTTAATTTGAGTTTATCAGATCAAGCAACACTTGATCTTTGAAAATCCCTGTAAGATTTTGGCCATGGAAAGTTTTGCAAGCCTGATAAATCTCAACAATGAAGTCAATTCCTTACAATCCTATTTGCAGATGCCAGAGATACAAATCAGCCATGTATAAATCCATACACCAGTAGTCTCTTTTATGTGGTCTCTATACATGTATCTTTGTGAAATGGTTTCTCATTGTCACCTGTTTGAAAGGTTCATAGATAATCAAGATAGTAGCCTTTGTAAGGACTTGTTCGATTAATGTAGAAGATGGTGTAGCTTGAAATTGAAAGATAGATTCATTTGTCCATGTGTGTGTGTACAAACCATCTTGTGTTCCTCCCTGCAGCTAAGATCTCAGACAAGGCCATGGCTTTGTACACAATCACCAAGGTGCAGGTCATGATGGAAAATGAGGTAAGTCTGTCTGAACACGGATGTAAGTAGGGCAAAACCCCCGACATTTAACATCATGTAGCAGTAACTGAAAAGAAAACAGGGAGTAAGTTGTGGAATTTTTCATGTTATTATCATTTTTCACTTACAAAGATAATCACAAAGCATGGCTCAAAACCCATGTAAGAAGTGAAATAATTGCCACATGTTAAGAGGGCACCTAATTTTACAGACAGCTACACCACCCTTCCTGTTCCTGGTGCTGAATGCAAGTTACACCACCCTTCCTGTCCTTAGTGCTGAATGACAGTTACACCACCCTTCCTGTCCTTGGTGCTGAATGACAGTTACACCACCCTTCCTGTCCTTAGGTGCTGAATGACAGTTACACCACCCTTCCTGTCCTTGGTGCTGAATGACAGTTACACCACCCTTCCTCGTACCTTGGTGCTGAATGACAGTTACACCACCCTTCCTGTCCTTGGTGCAGAATGCCAGTTACACCACCCTTTCCGGTCCCTGGTGCTAAATGACAACAACAATGCCCTTCCTGTCCTTGGTGCTGAATGCCAGTTACACCACCCTTCCTGTCCTTGGTGCTGAATGACAGTTACACCACCCTTCCTGTCCTTGGTGCAGAAATCATGTATTTTTGATGATACTGGTTTGACGTCTGTGTGTCTTGTCTGCTGTTACAGGTTGGACATGTTAAGTTGACAGGTGACCCAGAAGTCACACCCCTCAACAAGACCAGCAACATGGCCACCCTGACTGTGAAGACCCTGGGGGTCACCAACCCTGCATGTGATGCATCGGACGACTCAGACAGACCCAGTACATCTCAGGTACTGCCGGGAATGTTGTTTGTTTGTATCATATACCCAGTAAACGGTCTTAAAATGCAAACACATCAGTTTTACCATCCTCATGACCAGTGACTTTCTAACTTGGATAATGCTGATATTATCCTTCAGGAGAATCTGGACATGTCAGAAGACAGCCGGTCTGTTCCACTTGGGGAAGTGGTCCGACACTGCGGGGACAAACGTCGACAGTCATCCTCCTCTGTTTCATCTCAGGATGGTTTAGCCAAGAAGAACGGCACAGTCAGGAATGGGGTCACCCAGGTAACAACTCTCTTTGGGACTGTACTTAGGAGGGTGGGGAAGGGCTGGTGGGCTACTACAGTAACTATACCTGTCAGTCAGTTTCAAAGGACTATGACTAGTGGACACACAGTGTGCAAAGAGGTAAGAGCCATAGGGAGGGTTTTGCTGGGGGGGGGGAAGGCTATGGATACAAACATGAATATCATTCAAATGTGTAAGTAGACTCTGTCTATACCTGTACATGTACTTGCATAGCTGGGTAATATAATTGGTTCAACAAAAACATTTTCAGTTTGCATTACTAAGATGGGTGACGCCATGGTAGTGATATGCTACACATAGCTGCTTGGTGTCTGCCTGTCCTGTTGTGTGTGGAGACATAGCATTGATGACAGTGTTTTTTCTATCAGGATGTAGAAGCAACAGAGAGAGATGAGGAAAGTGAGGAGGATGATGAGGAGAAGGAGGAACCGTTGGACCTGAGCTGGCCTGACTCCTGGAAGAAGAGAGTATCGTATGTCATCATGTTCCCCCTGGTGTTCCTCATGTGGGTTACCCTGCCTGACGTCAGAAAACCTGTAGGTATTATATAGTACATTGTACATGTATGTATTTAGTATAGTGTGTATAATATGTGTACCATAGTATGTATGTACAGTATAGCTTAAGTACTGGTCTACATGGCTATGGATGGTTTCAATCTTCTGGTATCACTTTTGGTATGGTAATTGCCTTGAATGTATAGAGTACTGTGGTAAGTAAAACCATGACAAGATTCTCTCAGATTTTCAGGAACATATATTTGGTACATGTATTTTCTTTGGCCGGCAACATATTGATCTCATCTTCTGTTTAGTGTTCATGATGTCATGATTCGGCAAGACCCCTAACTGACTCGTTTCACAATATTAATGGCATAACTGATATTTTTGTTCCAGTCTGCTCGCCGTTTCTACCCCTGGGGCTTCTTGGGCAGCATTATCTGGATCTCCATCTTCTCCTACCTAATGTTGTGGTGGGCCAATCAGACAGGTGATACCATGGGCCTTAACATAGAGGTCAGTATGGCAGTAGTTACAGCTTCTGTAACGGTCATTGGTCTTGTTCCAGTGGCTGTTGAAACACATTGAAATTCCAGGAATAACTGTCATTTCTTTCTGCTTGAAAATAAAAACTATATAACTTGAGATGTACGTGACTCAAAGGGATTAGAATGGCAATACATAGGAATGCTGTGAGCCAGTCTTTTGTTTTGCACATTTAATGACATACTTCTTCAACACCTTTGTTGTAAATGGCATGGTCCAGACACATACATATAACATGTACACCAATACCACATGATGCACCTTCAACTGAACAATAACCAAAGACTACCTATCAAATTTCAACTAATGAAGGTTTATATCTACATCTAGTCTTTTTTAATGTCATTTCACATTATACATCTTCTTCCTTGTGATGCCCACGTTCAAATCTGTGTTGAACATTCTGGCATATTCTACATAGAACATTTAAAAGCATGGTCTTAATGCATTGTATTGTGCTGCTGTGCTGCCCTCAGGTGATGGGCCTGACAGTGCTGGCAGCAGGGACGAGTGTTCCTGATCTCATCACCAGTGTCCTGGTGGCCAGGCGGGGCTTCGGGGACATGGCCGTCTCCAGTTCCATCGGCAGCAACATTTTTGACATCACAATCGGGTGAGAACATCTAGTTTGGTATTACTGTGCTTCAGTGTGCACAGGATAGCTCTGAATAGGTCATCACATGACAAGGGAGTTACTGGTAAAGGTTACACAGGGTCACATGACGAGACAAGCGTCAATTTTGCTTTATGTAATTCCAGTAATTGTCCAAGCTGAGATATTGACCATGTATGTGACTGAAAGCTGACAGTATGCTGTTGTTGCAGGCTGCCTGTTCCCTGGCTGCTGTACTCCTGTGTGTATAATGGCCGTGCTGTAGACGTGAACAGCCGCGGCCTGTTCTGCTCCATCCTCATGCTGCTGGCCATGCTGGTCTGTGTCATCACCACCATCGCAGCCTGTCGCTGGCGCATGAACCGCTCTATGGGCATCATCTTCTTCACCCTATATGTCGTCTTCATGGTCCTCAGTGTTCTTCTGGAATTAAGCCTCATACAATGTTTTGTGTAAGGATCGTTTAATGATAGAAGTTATCAGTAATATTGGGGTGCCCAAAACTAGCATACACTCTGTCCTGGCATGCATGTTCCCCATGTGTAAAATACTGAACTTTAGAAACGTAGACATGTCTTAAACTTTGTCCTTTTCAAACCTATACAGTCATCAATATTATATGAAGCTTATTGGTTGCTATGGGTGCAGCAGGCCTTGATGTGCAATTTTCAACCACTGCAATACTTCTCTTTTGGAAGAAAAATTTACTCTCTACATACAGGTCTATTTTCTAATTTAAATTAGTAGGGCTAATAACATACAAGATGTATCACAACAAGATAATCATGGAAGGAAGAAGACATAACTAGGATGGTATATTACATAGCCATGTGATGCGTAAGGCAGTCACACATCAGTGCTGACATTCAGTCGTGTCTGGTCAGTTGATCGCTGTTGGAATGGAACAAACCACTGTTGAAATGGATAAAATCCAAAATGACAATGTTGAACCTTCTCGCTGAATGATGTTCATAACATAGACCAGACCAAATTCAAGTTGAGATTAGCAGTCAGTAACGTTACCTGCTGTGGTCAGAAAGTGAACTAAGCAACTAGGCTTCTTCTGGTTGGGCTGTGTCATACTGATTGTGTTTTGGCATATGGAAACAATGAAAAATACTTTAGTCTGTCACCAGTGATCCAACCTCATCCTGCAGTACCAGGGGTGGAAGATACATGTCTCTTCTGAGTTTCAGCAAATCCTGGCTGCTTCAGCCACCTGTTATGTTCTGCCTTAGAATTTGAAGGTATATTTACCATGATGGCTGTTACTTTAGTTTGGGAGTTAATGGATTGTCTTCTCTACAGCCACAGGAATTTTTTCTGTGAATTATAATCAAAACATATCAATCATTTTATTTAACAAAATGGAGGACAGGTAGAGATGGAGAGAGGCCAAATATTATGGGTAAGTGGAAAACAATTTTGACTCTACTACTAGATGAGACTGATAATCCTTCAGTTGTGGGTCCGATCCTGTGAAACACGCACACAACATCAGGAAACTGGGATTATGGAATTAAATGTGACCCAAATGGCACAAAAGAATGATTTTGATTGTGACTCCAACTTTATCACTACAGTATAGTGATTTTCCACTTCTCCCTGTTCCCCTTTGCAGAGTTTGCTAGATCCTGCTATATGCTGCTGTAGTGGTTGTGTACTCAGTTCCTCATTAAGTGCTGCTACTGTGGATTATTCTGATAAAGAGGCTTGTTGTATATATAGGGACTTGTGTGCAAAGAAAAAAACTTTCTGGGTATTAAGTTCCAGATGTTTTATTGTAGAACATTCCAGCATGACAAAGGGACAATCATAACTTGTACAGTCTTAAAACAGTAGAAGTGTACAAATTGTTACAATCATACATGAGACTAGATGAGTGTATATTTCTGCTGAATACCAACATCCGTCCTAGAATGTATATTTTTGAACCACTGTTGTATATTTATTGTAACATATTATAGGGAGTTGTAACTCTGGAGTGCAATTATGTACAATTCTCAGGTAGTGTAAACAAGGACAAGTGTCACTCTTCAAATTCGCAGACATGCAAATTAGAGTAAATATTATCAAAGTGTAACGTTATGCCTGTACTTAGTACAATAATGTTCTGCTTTTGTATGAATTGTCGACCTGTTACACAATGTTGTAGAATGGCTTTTCTTGTGCTATTCATGTACTTGCTAGCAACTAGTTACAGCACAAACACTTTGCCAAAAGTATAAGCCACTTTTGTTCTTGTAACTATTGTAACTCATTGTCCTGGGATTGGCTCTCTTAAATGTGTAAAACTATGTTTCTTAGTGTATTAACTGTTGTACAGAAAAATAACTAAAGAAGTTTTTTCCTCATGGGTTTAAGGGCATTTTGCATTGACTCAGTTGTGACATTAATGATATTATTACACTTTCATGTACTAAAAGTATATAGTGCTGTGACAACTTCTGATGAGGAATGGAAGGTAAAAATGTAGGGCTTTTAGTTTGTTTTCCCTGTCTTACCCCTTGGGTTCATTAACAGAATTTTTTTTAAGTTAATGGAAGTAGCAAAATTGAGTGAGAACAGCAGAAGATGAGTTGAAATGTCCCTGCAAGTAGATATGAGTAGGCACAAGTGTATAGATCTATTTACAATACTTCTCCATGTGTGTAATGCTGAAAGAAACCTTTGACATGCTGCTCTGAAGCACACGTTGCTGTTATTCAAAGCATGATGATATAACTAATACAGAAAGCCTGACTTCCAAGCTTGATCATTGTCATATAGAATATACAGGAAAGTATCAATGTTGGACCATCTGTTGATGAGGTAGAACCCAGATATGCTAGACATATGCTATCTGAGTAAATAATGGTCATGATGTAAGAAATTGAAAACATATCACCTTTGCCAGAAAAGGGAAGATTGTTGAAGGCATCCATTGTAATATTTTTGCAAGGAACTTGGCAACTGCTCCAACTAAAGCCTAAAATGTGGCCGTACATTGTGTTTCAACATCATATCATAAATGTTGAGACTTTTAATCTGTTTAGGAGAACACGATTGTCTATGATTTTACATCTTACATACACGTCACGTAATTCAGGTCACTTATGAAACAAAAATATTGAGGTAACATTAACACATTCTTGTATTGAAGTTGTATGAAATAACTAATAATGACCTGGATATTGAATATCTGTCATGAAGTACATAATTATGTTGGGTTTTCACACAGATGTAACAGTACAGTCTCTTTTTGTGAACTCTCAAGGTTATAAGCATACATTTTTTTATGTAATGTAGTGAATATAGTTGTGCCACTCTACATTTTCAAGATGAAGGCCAGATGACCTCATTCCTTCCTATTTATGAAGGAGGAGAAAGATTTTCAAAGTAGTCCAAATGTGTGCTTTATTTATGTGAAACTACCTCCGAACATGCACTGGTGAGAACAATCAGCTGTTATCTTCACTCGTATTGACCCCATCTTGAAAATCAGGACTGGTACAAAATGTATGTGCATATCAGGAATCACTACTGTAACTGTAACAGTTCCCATAGGGAATCAACAGAATCATGTTCATTATTGAGGCATTGTTTCAAACGGAAAGTGTGTTAAGGTAGAGTCCTTCCTCCTATCAGCTTGTAACAGTTCAAACTGAAGTCACTGCCTCCAACAAGGTAGTCAGGAGGATGCACAGTACAGACACAGGAATTGAGTTTATCTAGATTTCTGAGCTGGTCTTGGTCAGGATTTCCTTACCAATTACCAAAGTAGAACAAGAAATGATAAATCCCAAAATGTCTGGACCAAAAAAGTAAACTAAGATGATTCAGTGTGAAGATGTATACCAAGGTGTAGGTTTTGGGATCAATTTGCTGCAATATTGCTTGAAGAATGAGGAAAAGGTTGTTAACTATTTTTGAAATAGAAGGGAACGATTAATACTGGTGTTGAGTCAAGGAGCCTTGCAAGTAAAAGATTGTGGTAAAAATGTGGTGTCTGCTGCGTGATTGTGTTTTTTAGTATCTTGACAAGTTGCTGTAGACTGTGACCCAGTAAATGAAAAATATGATAAACATTTCTAATGAATTGAACAGCTTAAAAGTGTTTATTAAGTACTCCCAGGGCATCTTCCCTACTATCTTGTCAGCATTGTTACAGTAACTATGTAGTTGTATCCTATGGACAATGTATGCGCCAACCTCCATACAACATATCTTCCTTGGAATAAATAAATGGGTAGAAAAACATGATTATGAAAGGACAGCACTCTAATAGTTTGGTGAGCCCAATTTTTCAACCACCCTCCCTGGTTAGGTAGTACATGTATTGTCCAACCATTCATAAATGTTCAACGACACTATAGCACTTAATAAACTACAGCTACGCATTTTCTGTTCACTGACAAAGACATGTTATAAGTAAGAAAAAAAAGTTCTGAAATAAAACAGAATCTGATATTGGAATGTGGCAATATCTAAGTTCATTCAGAGCAACGTTGGAAGAAGACATCATCTTTTCAAGACTTATTTATATTTATGTCACCTTCGTCTAATGTTGCTTTTTTAAACTCCTTACAGCATGGACTGGAACTGCGCAACAACCATGGCAAGGTATACACAAATGTAGAGATAGGTACTGTATCAATCAGCCAACAGATTAATCTCCAGAATTGTGAGGAAACAGACATCTTTCCAAAAGTACAAATGCTTCAGCAACACTAGTCAAACTGGATTCAGGGCTGGCCAATAAAATTTCCTCGCTGTGTATCTCATTGATTCCAGATTTGGTTAAAATTTTCTATGTTTAGACCATTTTGCTGTACATTGTTGATAATTACATGATACAGACCCTGGAAATGATGACAAGTTGTTATTATAGAAAACCCTCAAGGTCACCATTAAGCTGCTCTATGATCCAAGCAACACAAAAATTACAGTATTAAGAAGACACTTCTGGTTTCAACAATACAAAATTGCATGTACTCACAAGAACAAGATAGCAATGTCCCATTTCAGCAATGTCCATTTTCACCTGTCCCACAAATGGCAGGACCACTTTTATCATAGTTTCCATACAGCTGAAGGGATCACTACAAAGGTCAGCTTATACATGTACCAACATTATTGTATCATTCCTCACAACACAGTTGAGTAAGGCATGACATCATACATGTAGAAGAAGAACATATTGGAATCACTGTGTTTCCTTTCTTTTACCTTTTAATACATGTTGTAAAATACATACCAGTATTACATGTATGTTTGACATAAAATGAGAGGGTGCAGCAAATTTAAAATTCTTAACATGATCAAAACTTACTCTACAGCACCCCACAACCTGCTTAACTAATTAAAACCCTATCTTTACCTTTTATAGGCAGCCATTTTCACCATTCTTCACCTAAATTTGGTACAAAAGACTACATATAACTGCTCCCTATATCGTGTATATAATATATAGGGAAGAGAAGACATAATTGAACAAGGACCTTGGAACAAAGAACTATGGGAGTGCATGATATATGGTCACAGTGGCACAAGTTGTTGGCAGATCCACACTTCTCAACTTGCATTTTCAACATATAAACCTACAGTCAGTCACATACAGTTGTGACAAGGCAAATCTATTGACACAAATAACAATGTGAATGTGGTACACCAATCAAGAAGGGGGAAACCAACAGTTATGGATGTTTCTTAAAAAGTTCAGTACTTCCAAGCACCTTTCACATCAAATAACATCTAATAGTTCATTGATGCTGAACTAAAACTACAGCATGTATCTTCATTCCATCCCTACCTTCCCATTTGCCAGGGAAGACAACATATCCAGTAGTTATGTACAGGTCAAGTATACATTTACCCAAATATTACATACTTTTTCCTATACACAAGCACTAACTACTACATGTACTATTCTTAGTTAAAGGAAGTGTACAACAAGGTGTAAGGTAACCATACCAACTCAATTTTTCTAACTTCTGTAAAACAGATACCTTTAATACAGTACCTTGAATGTAGAAAAGGCAGTCATATACATGTGGTACACAGACAATACAAAAAAGCAGTAATTGCGGTTTCCCTTCACAACAGTAGTATTAATGAACTTTTACTGCATTTAAGGACAATTCTCTGATGAAAGGTTGGTTTGAAAAAGAGCAATCAAATTCAAAATTGAGTTCCTTTCACAGTGAGTGGAGTACATGTATATATACTGTAGTCAACCATCCCTATCACTCACGTACATGTAACTCTCCACGATGAAGTCAAGACACCGAAAACATGTATTTCTTGTATACACCTCAGAATTGTTTAAACCGCAAATTCGAAACACCATGATAACTACTTCTACTGCAACTACAAAATAAAACCACAGCGAAAAGTAAATGAATTTTTACAGGATAACCACATGTTACATTGTACATATCAACTCTGGGACGAGATCAAACTTTCAAAGGCACCACTGAGCTACATGTACATGTAAAAACATCAAAATTTTTAATCTGGAAAGGTTTACACATGGATGCTTCCACTGTGACTGGACATACGAAAAAAAAACATTTTTTTTCTATCTCCACTTTTGGCAGATTCAATTCTTTCTACCATGTACTCTTCTGTCTAAGCCAATTAAATACAAGTACATGTATTGTCTACCACTATTGTTAATGCAACCCAGCATACCATAAAACATGAAAAAAAATCACCAACTTTTCCTTAAATTTTCTTTGAAATGTTCTTCTAATTCGACTTTTAGCAAGTTGAAACTCTTAGTATATGATACAATGGATTCTACACCTAACATGAAGCCGTTTCTCTCTATTTTTGTGCAGTGATGTGTACTTTCTAATTAGTCATACAAGACGCCGGCATATTTGACCTTGCTCAGTTCATCAAACTGGGCGACTAACAGTGAGAAGGAGGGTCTGTCCTGTGGTACCCACTTCCAGCACGTGTTCACTACAGCGTACACCTCGTCCGGACACTGTTCTGGCTTCACCAGCCGCTCTCCCCGCTGTAACTTGTCGTACACTGGCTCCTCAATTTCGTTGTCGCCCCCAACATTCTTGGAGTATTCTGGCTTCTTGCCAAGAGACAGGATCTCCCAGACTGTTACTCCATAACTCCAGACATCGCTGGCTTTCTGGTACTTGTTCACCTTGTCCAAAGCTTCAGGTGCATACCTGGGACCAGATAAAACAAACTGTTATTTGACAAGCTTTTTGCAGATGACATTATGATGTTTCTTACATGCACAGAAGATATTTCAGATTTTTAACAGCACACCTTTGACAGTATGTAGCTATGCTATATCACAGACTGTAGAAATAGAACTGGTTGAAGCAGCTAACATTTCACATCACTAGAACAACTGTACCTACCAGTTGATGGGGAAGATGCCCTTCTGTGAACTGTAGTAGGTCCCTTCTGTCAGTTCCCGTGACAGGCCAAAGTCGCTGATTTTGACAATGTCGGCATGTGCCACCAGAATGTTGCGTGCTGCCAGGTCCCGGTGAAGTACATGTTTGCCATGTAGATATTCCATGCCCTGAATACAGGCAAAACAAGGCAGACAATAAAATTATTGCCATGGCGACAATTGAATGATTATTATTGTATGTGGTTGAGTCAGAAATCTCAATTACAATCCTTTTAAGAAAAACAAATGTTCATCACACATGCGTGTAGTGAAATTTACAGGATGGGTGGAGGAGGTGTGGGTCTCCTCTCCAAGCAAAGGTTTAGGCTTTGCCGTATTTTTGGAATGTTTTAAGCGTTTTTATCAGGCTCTCTTTTTTGTACTGGTGTCTTTTTTTATGGTGGGGGGCTACACACTTATTATTCATTAGCGAATGAAGCTTTAGATGGTACCAGTAACTTACCTGTGCCACCTGTAGAGCATATCTGAGCTGACGGTCCAGTTGGATGTTGGCCTTCCATTTTCTAAGGAAGATCTCCAGGGAACCATACTCCATATACTCCAACACCAGAGCAGGGAACTCATCTGTGCACACAAACACATTATAACACAGGTTTTTATCCTGGCCATGGGTCCTTCTGGAAAATGGTTGAAGACAAACAAGATTCTGTGCAGCTGTTACCATGCTATACTGTAAGTATGCAGCAGGTCTAGAATATTAAGATTCTCCAAATCTATGGTTTCTCTCTCCTAACTGATTATTTAGTAATCCCTGAACACTGGTTCTAAAAATGATGCCTTATTTTAATTCCATTTTTGGAATCATTGCCTCATCATAGCCAAGCACGTACACATACATTTGTAACATCACTCTTCTGCACCTAGCCAAACACTTACTATCACTGTCCTGCATTGTGCCGATCACTTGGATGATATTGGGGTGGCTCAATGTCTTCAGCAACTTCAGCTCATCCAGAAAGTCCTTGCGGTACTCGTCGAGCTTGGCGGGATTCTTGTCAAAATATACTGCATTTCTCTTCACTGATTTCACAGCAAACAGCTTGACCAGGGGGTCGTCTTTGCATTCCCTTCCATAGGGGTCGTAGGAATACAGATCCACACGACCAAAGTAGCCCTGGGGGAGGACAACACCAAAGTGTTCATGACTATCAATCAATCAATCAATACCCTTTATTTATACTGGAAATGCCCTGTCGGTCTTAGCCACTCTTCCCAGACGTCCATTTACCTGTGCCACAGTGCAACTTTACAGAGACATCTCTGATTATGTTTGAACATCCATGACTACCTCAGATATAAGACTTTTAGTACCTTGGCTAACATCCCCCCCCTTCCCCAGGAAATTTTGCCTCAGCTTTGAGGAAGGCAGTTAATTGCTTTAAACAGGCAAAACATCAGAAGCTTGCAGTGCCAAGAAACCCACCCTTGTATCCCTGGGAGAGAACCAGTTTTTGACTCAATAACAAAAGTAGTGAACAACTGGGTCATGAAAATAATTGAGTCATTTGTGTATAAATTGGTCATGCCATGATCCAAACAAACAACTTACATCAGTGTTCCATTCATTCTTAGTGACACCAAAAGGCAGTTTAACTTTGTCACAGTGTTACTTACAGATCCAAGCTCTTTCTGGAACTTGAGATCTGCTGGAGAGAACTTCTGGTCGGTGTGGACTGGAGGGTCCATCGGAACTGGAGGCGGCAGGACAAAGGGATTGTCCTGCTGAGGGATCTGATGTATTCCTAACAGGACAGAAGAAAGTCATAAGTCAAATCTACTCAACAGTCAACTTATCTATTCAATGATGTAGCCAGACAAAAATAGTTATTAGAGTATTACTCTTTTTAACCTAACCCTAAACTTTCTAATAAAAAAAGGTATCTAACTTTAACAGTAAAAGATGAAACTGTCAATGATTTGACATTCTTTGAAACACATACTTCTGTCATCTCGGTCATCATCATCAGGGAAAAGGTCGATGTTGCCGTTAAAGATGGGCCACGTGTCGTCCGTCGGGGCAGGCCCCAGTCTCTCCACGGCAGGAGGGCCTGACTGGTCTGTAACTGAAGGGCAGGATGGAAGTCAGTCATCTCATCAGGTTCTGGTGCTGCATACTCAACAGTCTAGCCAGTATTGGTTTATATATCAAAACACTTCAGTCCGACTTGAATGAAATGGGGGAAAATAATCTTTCTAAAGCAGTGGTAAGGTTTCATTTTGATTTGCATGATGTAGAGAATTACGGACAAACAAATTAATCCAAGGACCTGACCACAATTATAATAAAAGGCCAAGAAAGAAACAATACTTGCGCCGATCCCAGAATGTCTGTGAGTTTATTTATTAAATCTTCAGACAGCTGGGTGGCCCATTCAATTTTGTCAAATTAATTTCATTTTGTCACATTGATTCATTTCAAACTATATGTACAGCTTGCATGCTCTTCAGAGCTGACTTGAAACTTTTCAGCAATGCAAGTTGTGTGATATTTTCTGGTAGCAAGTTGAAATAGTTTATACGTACCATCTGGGTGGTTGAGTGTCCTGAGCATGGCACGGTACTCTGGTCTCTGCAGGGGGTCCTTCTGCCAAAACCAGCGCATTTTCCAGTACACACTCTCCGGGCAGTTGTCAGGACACTTCAGCATGCTGCCTTCCGTGTAAAGCTGTTGAACCTGAACCATGACACAGACCTGTCAGTTTGTTCCACTTCCCAACGCATCTTAAAATCACAAAAAAAACTCTTTCTTTCTTCATATCTTGAAACAATCTGCAACTGACAATTAAAAAACCTGTTGCCCTAGCTTAAGCTTTTGCTTTAATTTAAAAAATCTCACGATTTTAGAGAGTCTGACAGACCTTTGAGTTGATATTGTGCCAAACACTGTACAGAATGACACTTTGTCCTGTGTACTATAGGCTAACACACTAACTGTTGCAGTATCACCCGTACTTACAGTTTCAGGGGCGAGTACTGAGAGTGGTTCTGCTCCGTAGTTGAAGATCTCCCACAGTGTAGTGCCATAGCTGAACTTGTCACTACTGGGGCTGGTGTCCTTGTGTTCAAACACTACCTCAGGAGCCAGCCATAACAACCTGACATGCAGGGGAAGGGTAGACTTAAGAATCTGGATACTGGTGTGTAGACTGTTATAGACATGATTTTTTAACTGTTCAACACTGTTGCAATAGTTGTGTTCATATCTAGATATAAAATAAGTATCATATAAGAACAAGTACTTTCCAATACATCACAGAATGTAATAAAACTAATCTCTCTCTTTACTAATTAATATGAAAAGGTAATCATCAACTCAGCAGCAAATTAAGACATTGACTCATCCAACAGAATTTTCAAATTCATTAGTAAAAATATCTAATATAAAAATGATAGTGTTATGCTATGCCTGACCTTTTCTTCTTTTCTGCACTGAAGCCGATGCCAGGATCACCAAGTTTGATAAACGGCGTCTCATTCGCTACCAGCACATTCTGGGCACACAGGCCACCATGACCAAAGCCTTTGCTTTCCTGTTGATCATGTACACAAAGTTACCATGTTCAACATTCTGTGAATAGCTAAGTACGATTGTCTTATATTGAAATTTAAATCTGTTTGAAACTGATACCACAAGTATCTGAAATTGCCACCAGTAATGACAATATCAATGATAATGGTCAATATAGGATTGACTAGCGATTGTAAATCAGCAACAATAGACTCAAAGAATGAATGGATCTTACAGTAAGTTACACTCTGGGCTTAAGCAGCTTGTAATTTAATTACTGTACAGAACTAGACTGTGTTATGCCTGGAGGCAGTTTAACAATTATGCGTAACAAATCAACAGACTCTTACCAAGTACAACATGACGCTGGCCAGCTGATGTGCAGCAGTCAGTAACCAGGGCAGTTCCACACTGACCTTGTGTGTACGCAGATAGTCACCTAGTGCACCAAACCTGACACACAACACGGCAATCTTTACAGATACATAATCACTGCCAAGTTTTTCCACCTATAATTAACAAAACATTAATGTGCCACTAATGTTGGCAGTTACATAATTTCAATAAAAGTAAAGTACATGTACATGTACATTTGTAGCCAGCCTACATTGATAAGGCCACACCAAGTAAATTTTATGGATGACGTCCTTTGGAGACCCTATATCTAATGCGAGAGGGCGAAAAAAAACAAGAAGGGCCCTAAAAACAAGATGCCTAGATTAGAAATATACTGAGACGACAAATGTTAGGACACAAATTGAATGAGGTGACACAGATTAACAAGCAAGAAGTCTTTCATTCATCATCAAAACAGCAATAAATCAGGTGGAACAGCAGTTGTCGTCCTGTCCTGTTTCTTTCACATTTTTGCAGGCCTGCAGAAACAAAGCATGTGCTCTTTACCCATTTTGCGTTACGGGTTTCACGTCAATCTAACGATTTGCAGCACTGTCGTGACTCTTTGGTCATAGTTACAGGAAGCGGAATTTCTTGTTTTTTTTCTAGGAACAGGCCAAAATCAATGAGCGCGAGGACGTCATCCATAAAATTTACTTGGTGTGGCCTAACAGCAACAAAGGGGACCTACCATGTAGATATCTACAATCATTCAATACTGGACACTACATCCATATATCACTTTCAGAGGGACTTTTGTGCTTCTTGTCATCTCACTCTACAGAATAAGATGCTGGCTCCAAGTGTGTGCAAACAAAAATCTCTACATTAGACCCTGGAGTGAACTGCCCCCACCTGGCATACTCCAGCACCATGATGGGCGGGTCCACACACAGACCCTTCATCCGGATAATGTGCTTGTCGTCCCACTGCTGCAACTTGCTGGCTGATTGGTGGAAAACCTTGAACCAGTTCTCATCCTTCAGTCGTTTGATGGCCACCACTGGTTGGGACATACCATCCTGGCAGGGCACAGGGAAACAGGGGAAATCCAAATTATATTCTTAGTACATTATACAGTCAATGAAAATAACAGTTACTAGAGCCTAGACAGTGTGCAAGCAGTAAGCAAACACAGGTTATTCATCGAATGGATCTGTGGATCCAGAGGGTAAGGATACAAGCTCTACTCCCTCTCTAAGGAGAATATCATAGCTGTGGTAGTTGGTTGGAGCTTTAAATGACTAGTGGGCAACCTTGCTGACCAACTCCCTATAACAAATGACCTTGCTCACAACTATGACATGGACAAGGTTAGAAGGGCATGGTCACCGACGTGTGATGGACTTTGTCTGTCAGAAATAACCGAGTACACCAAAGCTGCAGGTGGTGTCTAACCTGCTTGATGCGGCCCTTGTGGACGGTGGTGAACTTGCCGGAGTACAGGTTGTCCTCCTGGATCAGGTTGTTCTCCTGGATGAGCTGGCGTGGCATGGCGGGCTGCAGGGGGCGGGGGGACGGCGGAGGGGGGGCGTCTTCCACCCTTCTGATGGTCAGGTTGGTCTTTTCTGTGGGAAGAGTTGAGCAAACAATAAAACAGCAGAACACTAGGTCTACCTAACAGTATTACAACACTTCTCCAAAACAGCAGTAGTATGCTCAGGCTTAGGGACAAACAAAACGTGCAGTCTAATGGTCACATGAAGACAAGCAATGTCATATAAAGTTCATCCGACATGCCCGTAGCCAGGATTTTGAAAGGGGGGTTCTTCCCACTGCTTGAGGGACCAGTGACAGCTGAAGGCGCAAGGTTCCTAGGGGGGCCGTCCATGGGGGGGGGGTCGTCCGAGTAATAAAATGTAATGTAATAAGTGCCCAAAACATGATTCACAATCGGTATTCCTTTGAATTGTACATCAGCAGGAAATCAGTTGTTGGCTATGTGCCAAATCCCTAGTCAACATGTTTCCAGTCAGTTCGTCATGTTGCCAAGTCATTCATCATTATTTCAAAGTAACCCAGATTTCCAGAAAAACAGGTCATGATGCCCTGAATTGTCATGAGCACCTGTTGCAAAAATAATGTAGGAAAAAAGTGGAAAGTGAAGTAGAAGATTGTGCAGTGACATTTACTATGCACAGCACAGGCTACATCTACCTGAGAAACTTACCGTCTCTCTTGGGGGGCAGACATCTGTCGAACCTGAAGGGCAGTCCCACAGTGTTCCTCCCGTAGTTGCTGACCAGCTCCTTCATACCGTCAAACCACTCGTCAGGCTTGTTGGGCTCCATAGAATACTGCAGCCTTCCTTCTCTCTGTATATCAACATACATGACCACAACATAAATAAACTATTGATGTAAAGTGTTGTGCTTCCAGAAGCATAACTGTTAATAGTTTGGTCGTACCATATATGGCTACTACTTCACATCACCATGTTATGTTGCGGCCCCAGGGCTTGAAATATTTTTTCTGCAACCCTGCACTGCTGCAGGTACATGTAACATGCAAAAAATGCAGACAGAGCAGTTTCCCTCTAAAGCTCACTTAAACCAACAACAAATTAGAAGCCACTTTAAATTCCTTTAAACAAGCTTTAAGATCTAACCTCTGACGAGACCTGTGTACCTAAACAAATTTTAGGTACAGGTACAGGTACAGTTACACGGGTTTAGGTACAGGTCCGGACCTGAAACTGTACCTGAACAATTCAACAAAATTAAAATGTTCTTCTGAACTCCTTCCATAATGACAGAAACATGAATAAAGTTAACATAGACAGGCTACGACATCCTTACTTTGGGACCCATGGGGGACCAGCTATTTACATATTTTAGGTCACAAATAGACATATACATGTTATCAGTGTGAAATTATTTAGGTACAGTACTGGTACTGAGGGATTAGGTATTTTGGACCTGTATCAATTTTTCCGGTACACACACGTACTCACTGGTACTCATCTCTACCTCTGACCCCTCTGAGATATAAAATGAATAATGATTTAGATTTGGTTTTGTTACAACAACAACATATAATTCTTGTTACAATGTTTATGGTCTATTAATTTAGGCATCTTGTTTTTGTTTGCCATGTTGTTTTTTTAATCAAGCTCTTTCATTAGATTTGGAGTTAGCAGAGGATGTCATCTAGAAGATTTGCTTGTTGTGGCAGTGTTCTAGCCAGTATCCATATTTTGTTCATTTGATGGAATTTTGCCACTTGTGACAGACAAAAAGTTTGCCCGAACCGTCATCTTTGACAGACAAAAATCGGCATGTTAAGACATGGAAAGAGATGTCATTGAACTAGACTAGTTTTAATCTACATGTTGTACCAGCAAAATTTGCTTCTCAAAATGCAGAAAATAGCATTTCAGAAGGTCAAAGATTTCAAAATTCTGATGATGTTACATGAAACAAAATTGAGATGATTAAACTGGCTATAACAGTGCTGTGGCCTTACCATGATGTGTGTTTCTGTACATACCTGTTGGCAGACCACCTGGAAGTTCTTTATTTCTCCTCCAGGGAAGCAGACGTTTAGGAAGAAGTTGCCATAAATCTCCGTGTGTGCACGCAGGACGTAAGTACCTGGCTTGCTGCCATGCTTCTCTATCTTCTGTTCTGCAAACGGCCTCCTGGATTTGCAGAACGTAAAAAATGTATATACATGTAGTACAGTAAAAATGAGTCTGATATAATATGGTGTATTTGGAATACATGGCAAGTACATGAAACATAACAAAATATGTATAGGACTGTGTTTGAGATAAATGTTAAGCACACATGACTTACATAATGTGTATAGGTCATACAATGTGTATAGGGCTTTAAAATTTCTTTGGATTACATGGCATGTACGTCAAATGCAAAAACTGTACTAATGTTTACCAAAGGAAAACATATTGTTTTTGCTCTGCTACCTCTTCTTCTTCTCCAAACCAATAAGGTCAATGACCTGAACTAGACATCTGTCACCATGGTAACTAGTGTTGGGTTACATCATGTTGCAATTTATAACAGGAGGGATTTAGACTCTTGTCTAACCATATACAATGTATATGAATGTGTTTGAGTAAGAATTAACAATGAAAGCAGACCATATACGAAGGCAAACATTACGCATTTGCTTTGCAAATGTTACCTTTCTAGTTTATATTGGATTGTAAATGGCAAGTATGTAACATATGACTTTGAAACATGTTTGGAATTTATGGCAAGTCAGTCTGAGATAAAATCTTACATGATAGATCCGTGGGCTTTGATTTCGGCCAGGATAAGTAAGGAAGGAGGGGCAATGTCCTTCCAGAAGTAGTGATAAGAATCCACCAACAGCCGGTGATAGCCATCAATCAGTGTCAGCAGGCTGACCACCACATCACTGTCCTTGAAATGGAGCACCTGATGCAGGACAGAATGGTAGGTTACCAGCAGGTTAGGGACTGTACCAAATCAAGTATCAAGGGGAGGAGGGCTGATGGTTGTGTTAGATTTAAGAATGGTTGTGTTAGATTTAAGAATTTTCTCATGGTCCTCCCCCACATTTTCACAATTGAAAAACATCACAATTCACATGAATCACTGTGATTATATTTGGAAGAGTTTTTTTTGGCATCATATTTCAATATGTTTGCCAGGGCTCAAAGCTGACCTTGTTCCAGTCCCTAATGCCAAGAAAAATGGGAAACTAAAGGTACCTACACATAGACAATGGCCAAACGACAAGTAAAATGCACTCTTCTCAACTAGTGATGACATTAAGTACTAATGCCAGGAGATCTTAACTGTATTATAAAATGTCTAAAGCATTCCTCATCTTCCCAGACCAACATGTCTATGTTGGTAAGACGCGGCTCACCTTCGGCCCGCCCCCCTGCAGCCTGTTGAGGATGACCTCCCAGAGATTGCCCTTGATCTCCTGAACGCTCACATCATTCAGGTTCTGGAAGTCACAGAAGTTCTGCCACATGCCAGGGAGAGGGTCACCCTACAGGCAAGACATGTCAAGACACACAAAGTTTATAATCTATTATAACAAACACACCTATTAGGATCACTTGCTCTGTCTACTGTAAATCTTGAGATGTTCGTGGTGGTTTTATTTTGGCAGTGTCTGCTCTGCCACAACTTTATAACACTGCAAGTATGGGTTTCCAGTGTATTACTATTTACTTTGACAAAATTGTAATGCAATGATTTTGAAACACCACAAAACCTCATTTTCCCTTCAACTACAAATTGAAGTCCCCACAAAAAAGAACGTACAGTATGTATCTTTTTCAGACCTGGAGTGGTATGTTTGGTGACAACAGATGCCAAGTCTGCATGTCATGATGACCATGTATTGATATAGTAATAACACATCAAATAGCATGGATACTATACTGTATGTAGGACAAATAAGAATTGAAGTGTACAATGTCTCTACATATTGTACATTGAACAACACACTTGAGTCATTGAATTATAATAAACACATTACATGTTACATATTTTTATATGTAAGACCTAAAGGTATGAGGAAAGAAAGTTTACTGACCTCAGGAGGGTTACACCAGCTGATGCCCGTGTCCCCGCTGACTCGGATCAGCTCCTTCACACTTGTTCCTTTACTCCTGCCGTCGTACCCTTCAAACGTCTCCCAGCCGTAGTCCCTCCCCTCCACCTGCTCCAGGTGCTTCAGGTACTTCTCCTTCATGAAGAGAGCAGTTCTGTTAGCGTTCTCCACCTCCTTCTCCGCCCACTCCTGCAGGAAGCCGTTAAACTTGCTCTTGATCCTGTTCCTGTTGAAGGGGTTGTACCTGGTCAGCAGGTCCTTCACCTCCGGGGGCAGCAGGTCCTTGTAGCCGTACTGCTTCTTGATCTGGTCCACGGGGACGTTCTGTTCCAGGGATATTCTCAACATGTCCAGCACGGCAAGTCCCAGGCTCTGTTCAATTGCTTTCTCCTTATTGTTGTTCCGTAAGATCTTAATCCGCCCGGATAGAAAGTCTTCCCTAGCCTGCAGGAAGTAATAGCTCATGGCGTTCTCATCCAGAACGGTGGAGTTCTGGTTGTGGTCGATGCCATGTCTGGTTGGCCTTCTGTGCTCAAAAAGGTTGGCGAACTTGAACCTGAGTCTGAAGACCAGGACGACCTTCTCTCCTTTCTTGGCTGAGACCTTGGCGGACGGGCTCAACCATGTGGCTAATTTTCCTTCTAAATCCTCCTTCACCAAGCCGAACATGGACACATACGGAGGTGTGATGTCACAGGTACTGGCAGCCCTGAAGCACAAATCCTCCACAAGGTATTCTTCCTCACAGGCATAGTACAAGGGCTGTCTATTCAGTATGTGCTCCTTGCTGTCTGTGCGGTACAGTTCCACATAAAGTCCAGGCATCCTCTGGGGCCTGTGGCATGACGGGTGACTGATGGTGTTGCCCATGGCCATATCACCTGGACATCACTTGCCAATCAACAGGTCCATCAATCTACAGGGACATAACTGGAAATATAATCCCTTTTTAGTTGAAATAAGAAACAAAGATTCCTAAGGTGGAATGCTCAAATGTTCCTAGAGTCTCAAGTTGGACAGATTTTATATGTGCTCTTCCTGTAAAGGAAACATCAAATACGAATCTGTGTGATGTGCCTGTAACAGGCCAATCACTGCGTTAGATGGTCTGGGGTCATGTGGTTAGAGCACGTGACCCAGACGCGTCATTGGCCAAAGCCTGACCACGCCTCCGCCATGCAGATGTCGCTCCGCCCTTCCGCGCGCACTATAAAATAGCGGGACGCGCACTAGAACTAAGTTCTTCGCCTCTCGGAAGCTCCGTTCCATCACACCAGTTTAGGTTAGTAGTAGTTTAGTCTTGTAGTTTTCCCTGCAACACACTCGACTGTACAGGTAATTGGTTTCTGTTCTCAGTCTTTGCCTACTTTTAGTATTGTGTTTCCCTCTGTAACTGTTCCGTTGTATAACTTTGTATCTGTAGTTCCATTATAATGTTGCATTGCTTTGTATCTTATACCGCGGTTAGTCAATAAAGTCGCATCAAATATAAATCGACCTGGCTTTGGCATTACTTTGAGTGAGAGTCTAGTAACAAGTTCCTTAGAGTGAGAGTCTCACTCTAAGGAACTTGTTACTAGACTCTCACTCTAAGTAATGCCAAAGCCAGGTCGATTTATATTTGATGCGACTTTATTGACTAACCGCGGTATAAGATACAAAGCACTGAGAGTCTAAGGATTTGTTTAACCGTAATCGTAACCGTAATCGTAACTTTAGCCCAAATCCTACCCACACAGAAAGACCGTTTGTTACATGCCAAAAAAAAAAATTGTGCAAATTACTAGCACTTAATTCTTGAACATGTATATATGTGCATACTTAAGTATACATTCACAGTTAATCATGTCATTTTAATGTGAATTTCTTCAAATTTCCATGACAAGCATGACATACAGCAGTTTCTGCAAGTGCTGTGCTTTATGTACATCTGAAATGATTCTGATACTAACTAATGGATATCTGAATATCTCCCATCAGCCAAGCAAATTGCGACCTGGCTGTCTAGCAATTTGGTAATTTGTTGACCTCCTTTGATTTCTATGAGTATGACCCTAAAGTCCCATGTTTTTATATTTACATAAGTTACAATGTGTACCTTGTTGCTATCATTATCAAATCTGGCAGATTATAATCAATAGAAAGAGAAGTGAACATGAACCAGGTTGGTTAATGAGTCAACAAAACATTTGTGATTCCCTCGAAAGCTTACATATCTTGATCCAAATATGCTAAGACCATAAAAAGCAAGACAGTGTATGTGGAAGTATGATGGTCAAATAAAGAGAGAGACACAAGCAGATGTAGTACCAATGTAGGCTGCTAGGTGACCCAAGTACTACAGACCAGTTCAAATCTTTGCATGAAAATGCAGGATATCCTGCACTATCATGCAAAAAGGATTTCTAGGGTCGTCCACGGCAAACCCAAATCTTGACTTCCCTCCAAAGACCTCAGTTAAGCTATACGAAAAACAAACTCTGAATGCCACTACTAGTATCTTAAAACCCTCGTTTCAAACCTTACCTGCATACCTTTAACATGTCTAATACTCGACTATAATTTGTTATGTCCAAGATAGACAGTTGTGATCTTGATGAAAAACAGATCCTGGCAATTTCAAATATTTAAGTCGCCCCATTTTTAATTTTCTCGTTCAAAGGAAAGGAGGAAGGTAAACAGGAAACTATTATTGTAGCAGACACACGCGACAGACCTGCTACGTCGTGGTGAAGAGTAGATCACGACCTTGTGAAGCACGATTGTGATCCAGACTCTCCGACATGTTCAACAAACATTTTCACCTGTTCTGTGTTCAGCTTACCTGATGCATGAAGCCTCGGCAAACTTCGACATTTTCACTGCAAGTTTCCTCTTTCTTGGCCTAAAACTGAGGATCAATCCTCGAAAAGCAGACTATCTTTTCTTACCTGGATTAATATGGGAGGCTTGAAACGTCACTCCTATCGTCAGATTCGACCTAAAACGATCAATTATTCCTACAAATGCGTAAGAAAAACATCTAAGTTTCTGCCATATCCGGGCTCTGTCACGTCTGTTCCCTGGGGTCTAAACGGGGCAAAGGTCAACACTTAGCCATTGGTCTAGCAGCGCCATCTAGCGGCAGATATTGTACTTTGTTCAATACTAGTAGTTGTTGACATACATTGTCGCATGTTGTCGTGCAATAAAGTTCTTCTGTGAATTTACAACCATGGCCGCTCAGTAATACAAACAAATCAAAAACGTATAACGTCCTTGATAAAACATAGACTAGAGAATAACATACAGTGGATCGTGTGCTCACTACAGAAACTGCTTTGGG